CGAGTACGATGGACGTGAGGGGTGCTAATACCTTCCCCTTGCGTAACCGACTCCCGAATCCAGGTTTTGGTTGCGATGACCATACCTTTTCCCGTCTTTGCGAGGTTTACTTCGAGCGTTTCCTTTCCCGCTCTGAGGGATAAATAACGCACGGTGGCGACTCTCCTGTCAAGCCGGCGCCGATTTTCGCAGTAGCGACAACATCAACTCAACAGTTGGAGATGAAATCAGTACTGCACATGTTTGATAATGTTTTCAAAGAACCACAAGGATTACCTCCTGAAAAGACAGCAATAACATGTTATATACTTGCTAACCAGCCATGGCCCAGTTAATATTCGATCGTATCACTACCCTCACCACCATAAGACAGAAACTGAAAAAACAAGTGAAGGAGTTACTACTTCCCGGTGTGATCAAACCTAGCCAGAGTGCATTTCCAAGTCCGGTTATCCTAGCCAAGAAGAAAGACAACTCTTAGAGGATGTGTGTTGACTACCGTGCTTTAGGTAAGGTAACTATTCTGGATAAGTTTCATGTCATTGAGGAGTTATTGGATGAGTTACATGGTGCACAATACTTTTCTAAATTTGATCTTAAGCTTGGCTACCACCAAGTACGTATGCGAAAAGAAGATATTCATAAAATAGCTTTCCGCACTCATGAGGGTCATTATGAATTCTTAGTGATACCTTTAGGGTTTATAAATGCTCCATCCACCTTTCAAGCATTAATGAATGAAGTTTTCAAGCCAAAATTGTGGAGTTATGTTTTAGTATTTTTTGACGATATTTTGGTGTATAATATGACGTGGCCAGACCATATTCTGCATGTGAATTCAGTTTTAAGTGTGCTAGCTGAGCAACAATTGGTGGTCAATAAAAAAATATTCATTTGGCCAATTGTCGGTTGAGTATCTGGGTCACGCGATTTCTCATGAAAGGGTTTCTATGGATCCATTGAAAATTAGCAGTGTGTTAGAATGGCTCGTGCCAAAGAATGTCAAAGGTGTTAGAGAATTTATGGGTTTGAGCGGGTATTATAAAAAGTTCATTCGTGACTAAGGCAAGATTGCAAGACCGTTAACTGACTTAACTAAGAAATAGGGTTTTAAGTGGGGAGCCAAGGAACAAACAACTTTCGAGGAACTTAAGAACAAGGTAACTTCAGCTCCAGATTTAGCATTGTCTGACTTCACTAAAGAATTCTTCATTGAGAGTGATGCGTTCGGAAATAAGTTGGGCGCAATCTTGATACAAGATAGGAAGCCTATCACATTTTTCAGCAAGGGACTCAATGATCGTAATTTGAACAAATCAACATATGAAAAAGAATTAATGGTTGTGGCTCTCGCAATCCAACATTGGCGCCCATATCTCTTGGGAACAAGTTCACGGTGTGCACAAATCAAAAGAGTTTGAAACAATTAATGCATCAACACGTAACCACAATGGATCAACAAAATTCGGTGGCTAAGCTTTTAGGATATCAATTTGATGTAGTCTATAAACTTGGTCTTGAGAACAAGGGTGCTAATGCGTTGTCCCGTCAGTTTGATACTTCCCCAAACAACACCATAATGGTCTTTGCTGATTCAGATGACAGGTTAATACTTAACTCTATGATTTTTCGTCTTGGATGGTTAGATTTCAAGGTTGTTCATGAAGAAGTACAACAGGATCCAACATTACAGGCACTCATTTCGACTTTACAAAAGGGGGAAACCACAAAATTGGGTTTGCATTGTAGAATGGGGTTTCTTTGTATCGGTACAGATTAGTTATGTATGCTTCATCTACTTTTGTTCCTACAATTCTCAAGGAATTTCATAGTACCCCTTAAGGTGGGCATTATGGGTTTTATCGCACTTATCGTCGTTTGGTTGCTAATTTGTATTTGATTGGTATGAAGAAGGATATCTAGAATTTGTGCAGAAATGTACGGCCTATCAATGCAACAAGTATGTAACTTCAACACCCGGTGGTCTTCTCCGGCCACTTCCAATACAAAATCAAGTGTGGGAAGATATTTCTATGGACTTCATTACTGGTCTTCCAAAGTCCAAGGGATTCCAAGCTATTTTTGTGGTGGTAGACAAGTTGTCCAAATATGCTCATCTCGTCATTCTTAAGTGTCCATATTCTACAAGATCTTTGGCTAAAACTTTCACCCAAGAAGTGGTCCGACTTCATGGAATTCCAGAATCTATTGTGAGTGACAGAGATCCCATATTTATTAGTAATTTCTAGAAGGAACTCTTTAAACAAAAAGGTACATATTTGAAGCTCAGCACTGCATACCACCCTTAGACCGATGGTCAGGCAAAAGTAGTTAACCGTTGTTTGGAGACTTTTCTTCGTTGTTTTATTGCTGACCAGCCTAAGACTTGGGCCATGTGGCTTTCTTGGGCAGAATATTAGTACATCACTACTTTTCATGCTTCTACAGGTACAACTCTATTTGAAGTGTTGTATGGTCGTTCCCTTTCAGTAATCACTAATTACTTATCGGGCGAAGTTAAAATGGAGGTTGTTCAACGAGACTTGGCGATCGTGATGAATGCTTGCGACAACTGAAGCATCATATATCCCGTGCTCATGGTCAGATGAAGACACAAGCAGATACACATAGTAAAGAACGCTCTTTTACAATTGGTGACTTGGTTTTCTTGAAGCTGAAACCTCATGTGCAACAATCTGTTGTGGCTAGAATTTGTCTCAAGTTGTCTCCAAGGTATTTTGGTCCGCTTAAGGTGATTGAACGTGTTGGGATTGTTGCTTATAGGTTGGAGTTACCTCCTACATCTCGGATCCATCATGTTTTCCATGTTTCTTTGCTTAAGAAAGCGGTTGGTGATGTTGTTGTTAAACCAACTCTCCTACTAGTTTAAAGATTAATGAAGACTTTGTGTGAGAACGAGAGACATCTTTAGATCAAAGGACAGTGGTCCGACATGGTATATCTATTTCTCAAGTTCTTATCCATCGGAAGAACAAGACTATTAAAGAAGCTACTTGGAAAGACAAGGACTTCATCCATGTTCAATTTCCTTCCTTCAACCTTGAGGACAAGGTTGTTTCTCTTGGAGGCGACATTAATAGCGCATAGACTAAGGAGAAGGGTAAATTCTTCATTTGGAGAGTTTATCAAAGAGAAAATAAAATAAATAAGTAATATAATTTTAATTTGTTTAGTTTAAATTCTAGTTATTAGCTGATATTATGGATTGTATTTAAGTTGTTGTTTATTGTTTTTTTTGTTATGTGGGAAGGTTATTAGAAAGTTACTAGGCCAGAAAATTTCTTCTCTCTCAAACTGCTCTTATAGTTTTTTAAGTTGTATTTCTTTTGTTTTATCAATGAAAAATAGCAAGTTCCTTTCTACCGGGGCATTGTTCATCTTCTCACAAAGCTACCTAAATTTCAATTCAATGGATTGAAATTTGAACTATATCTTTATGTCCTATCTTATCATACTCTTTTTTAGTACACTTGCAAGAACTCTAAAGACTATTAATTTTTCTGGTACAACGCAGACTAGTAATTCTGCACTAGTTGCAATTCTTACTGAGCTGACACATGATTTACTGAAGAAATCAAACATCATGATAAAAATGAAAAATAAAGTATTGTTAGCCTAACTCTTTCCCCATACAAAAGACTCAAAATAGGTAATATGCACACGCCATTCAACTTATGAATGTGAGTTTGCATGCTTACATGTGCAACTCTGCACAGGTGATGGATGATAAACATATCAAAACCGAGGAAGAAAGTTTTAATGTAACAACTACTCTACTCCTCCATAAGAAGGCAAGTCATTCTCAACTGTATTCATCTTTGGTCGTTCAACAGTAATTAAGCCAAATGTTTGGGAATCTCCGGCCACATGACAAAATACTTTATCAGATTCAAAATCTCAACAAACAGATAATTTTTCCTACAACTGTATTATTGAATCAAGATTCAAGTCTTTTTCATGAAGAAATAAACGCTTTACCTAAAAGAAAAACCGCAGGGCCAATGAACATCGCTAAAAAAATATGACCAGGTATATCTGCAAGATACTCAATAAAAAATGCCAACAATCCTATGGAATTAAATAACTGTCAAAGCCAGACCAATTTCAATGAATGAACCACTTTTCTTGGATCATCTTTGACAACTTTCTATATTGTTCTCCTCAACAAACCTGGAAATCTATTCACTTTATCAGCAAAACAGTAAGATAGTTTCGAGAGTCACGATCAATTGAAACTTTTATGAGTGAGATAGTCAGTAAAAGCTTCAGTTAGGAGAGAGGGTGTCTTACTTCTAGCTTAAAAGCTTAGGACTATGTTAAGTGGACATTTTTGTAATTTAAAAAGATTTCCACCTAAATTTTCTAAACTATGATGACCTAATCTATTTGTTCAATTATGTAACCATACACTAACAGCAGAGAAGTGGAAAAACTAGAGAAAATTAAACATTGCTATTATCATCATGTCAAACCAATCTATTGGCATGGCAATCAGATCATAATAAATTAATGTAAATATCAAATTCATGAGCAAAAAATAACTTCATCCTATTGGAGCTATTGGATTTGGGGTACATTCTTTAGTATTCTAATTCACTTAGTTTTTGAATTGTTTTTGCTATTTACTATTACTGTTATTTATAACTTGAATGTTTAGAACAATTTAAGCTACTATGTTATAGTGTCCATCCTTTTGCACATGATGATACCAGATGAAAAGAATGAAAACAATCCTAATCAGAGAAATTAAAAGGATGAAAACAATCCTAATCGGAGAAATTTATTATATATAGTGAAAGATTTGAACAATGGTTAACTATATAAAATGTAATGCACTGTGACAAGAACATCAGTTCTAAATAACAAATAAATGAAATATAAGATAGCAATTTCTCAACTCATATTCCATATACCATAAATAACAAAAACACTCCGTTAACCTATTGGCTGCATTTGAGTCTGGTCACATAGCACAACAACTACAAAGGTGATATTAAGCTCTCGACATAGAGGTCATGGGCCACCTTCATACTATGGATGTTGTTTTGAAATTTAGGAATATTAAAAGTATTATTTATGGAATCATAAACAACCAAATTATTTCCATCCCCGGTGCAACACTCCATTAGCACTTGGTCATCGCTTGAAATATATAATGCTTTTGTACAGTAATAAAAATGAGATTCTTCCCGGGAAGGAAGAGTTACCAATTTGGTCCAAGAATTTTCATTTCCATATTCCTTCATAATCCAAATATCTGAAAACTTGTCACTCCTTAGGAGGGACAAACAACCCCTCAATGTCCCTAAGGTCATACTAGGATTTATGAAGTGCTCAAAGAAGGGAAGCGCAAGCTTTTGGAAAGACTTTTTCTCCAAATTAAGAGAAACAATTAACATTCCATAACAAGGAGAACCATGTGTCAACCAATCAGCAGAATTATATGTCAACCAATTAGCAGAATCATTCACAAATATTCCCGGTTCAGCCATAGGAAATAGGTTAGGACCTGGGAAGTAGTCCCGAACCCTTCTCCAGCCATTTGTACCAAAAGTATGAACCTTCACTTCTATTTTGTAACCAGACGCAGCAAGAGCAATAACCTTATAATTATTGATGAAACGGTCATACACTAACGTATATGTGATTACAAAATCACTTCGGCGCCGAATTTTCAAAGGAGGCAATATTTTGAACTTTCTAATGGAAGGGTTACACAAAAGAGCTGAACAATCATCTATTTTAAAACATATGATGCCGTCACAAGTGGACGCTCTATAGTCTCCTTCTTTGATAAGAATCTCTCCTATTGAGTATCTCAACTGTTTGATGCTAGTATTTGATGCGAAGCTCAAGATAGAGGAGATTGGAGACTGACATACAACCAACTCCTCTTTTGAGGACAACTCAGGTGTTAGGATCAGGTGGTGGTGTTCGTGGTTGGAGGTTGACAACCGGAGGTGCTTTTTGGCGAACATAGAATCTCCGGCGATAAGAGAATTCCATGATTTACAGACGCAGCGGAGTTGAAGGAGATGTTTCACGGGGAGTCTACATAGTATATCTGCCACCAGATCGAACGGAAGATGCGGCACGTGAAAACAATTTTTGTGAAGCGGCGATAATAGGTCTCCGGTTGAGGTTGCTTTCTCTGTAGAAGCGGCGCTGTTTTGCCCATTGGCTTCGTTATCGGCCGTCATTTCGAAAACCTAAAAGACAAGGTTGGGCGACTGACATCGAGAGATAGAGGGCTTTAAGGCCGTTTATATATATATATATATATATATATATAAACGGCCTTAATATAAAAGTGATTTTAATTTTGGTATTATCAAATATGAATTTTATAAGAAACATTAAAAATAAATATAAGGTATTTCAAATTTATCTATAATCTATAAAATTTTGGTGTATCCTAATTTTCTACCAATTTTATTAATTTTTATTAAATTATTATTTTTATCTTTCGCATAACTTTTTACTAATAATTTTTTTTATATTTTTTATTTAAATTAACATTAAATAAAAAATATAATTTATATTTTTAGTGTGTGCATTTAAAAAACGGATAGACGACACTCGAGTGTCTGTCTAGACGTTAACATTTTATAAATGAAAAGCTTTTATTTTAAATTTAAATTGTTTTAAAAATTTTAATGTAGAAGAAAATCCTTAAAAAATATATATGGAACATTTGAAATAATATTTTAACAAAAGTTATAAAAATTAATTTGAATTTTGAATTTTTTTTATAAAGTTCTTAATAAATAGTTTTTATCGAAAATATATTTATATCATAAAATCATTTTAATTTTTTTAAACAAGCTATTAAAGTATTTTTACATAGTTTATTAATAGGGTTTTGTTTAATCAGTTAATTTAGCTCTTTATTTGACTCTCAAGTTATCTTACTATTATATATATTTTGTATCATTTCATTGCTTGTTTTAAAGTCAAATGATAATGAATCATCATTTTTAATCTTATTATGATATCAGTAGAATGAGCAAATTTTAGACCATTCCTATCCTTTATCAATGCCTTTTACGATTTTACCGATTCTTCACATGAAGCTTCAATAATGGAAATTCAATATCATGATTCTTCCACCACATCCAACAACCACATTATACAGAATAACAATACAAACCACAACAATCAAAACATCATCAAAAACCCTGCCCTCGATCAATTCACTACCTTCATCCGCCCGAGAATTTCGACGCAATCCCTAATTTGGTCTGCAAATTACAAAAATCTCTCTATGGATAAGTAAGCAAGCAGACAGTGGTTTGCTAAACTCTCATCTTTTCTCACTTCCTTATACTACCAGTAATTTGAAGCAGATCACTCTCTCTTCTCTAAAACTGATAGCAAGAAGGTTGCACTTCTTCTTATTTATGTTGATGATCTCATCATATCAAAGAATGATATTAATGAAATTAAGAGTTTCAAATCAAAGCTTGATACAAATTTCAAAATCAAGGATCTTGGTAACTTGTAGCTTTTCCTTAGTATTGAATTTATTCGCTTCTCACATGGTATCTTCACCTGCCAACGTAAATATGCCTTAGAGCTCCTGCATGACACCGGTTTTTTAGCTACTAAGCCTGCTCAAACCCCAGTGACAAGATCTCACAAACAAATTGAACATGATGACTCATATCTAACTTATCCTACTTCATATAGAAAGCTCATTAGAAGTTTAATATATTTGTGTACCACAAGACCAGACTTATGATTTTCAGTGCAACAACTAAGTTAATTCATGTCCTCTTCAACCACTTTTCACATATAGGTTTCTCATTGAGCTCTCAATTCCATCAAGTAATCCTCATATCGAGAATTATTTTTTTTCCTTCCACATCTATAGTGCAACTAAAGCCTTCAGTGATTGTTTTTGGGCTTCATGTAGTGGACACTAGAAAATTTATAACTAGCTTCTATATTTTCTTTAGAGACTATCTTGTTAGGACAAAATTTGTTCATAACATGTATTCTTTGAATTTTGATGATAACAAAGTATTTAAAGAACAATGATTTTATTTGATGTGTACTTCTTGTATGCAGGTTCTAATACTTGTAAATATTACATGCAAAATTTAATATACAAAGGCACACTTAAGAGAAGTTGAATTGCTAGCTTATAGTGATGCAGAATCTGAAGAACACTTGCTAAGTGATGTCTGGCATAGACTCTGGAGCTGAATGCCTTAGCATCAGAAGAAGCAACATATTTGTCTCTACACTTGGTGAATGTAATTTGGCTTCTGATTTCGTTCAGAGTTAGTGATAAAGCTGAAATTGTTCGTACTGCATAAAACAAGTTGCATTGTCAAATTAGTTTGTCAGTTGGAGTATGAGTTTACAAAGCTCAAGAAAGGTTGACATGCTTTACGGATATCCTATCCAATGGCTCTATAGTATAGGATCTTCTTGAAGACTCAACGGTTAAACATGTTACACAATGAATCAAGATCTTTTGGTGTATCTATCTTCAACGGCTCTTGTACTATGTGTTGCACCCTAATTTTGACCGTAAGATGTCACCTCCTTTTGCATTTTTTTTATTGTTATTTAGCCTTATTTTGATATTTATGTGACTAACCAATTTGTGCAGACGCAGTGATATCGAGTGAGATGACGTTCATTCTCATAGTCAATCATTATGCATAGCTAACCGTTTTAACCAATTTGTTTGTTTATTGTGTGAGAGACAGGTTACTACTGGAAGTTTAAGGAATCACGAAGTAATACGCATAAGGGTTTATTATTCGAGGATTGAGATTTATGTCATTTTATTGTCAAGGCGCAAGAGGTTACAGATTTAAATTTGAACTTCTAGAATACTCAAAGGGCCCATCAGCATCAAAAGAAACAACAAGCAATTTCCATCTCCTTTCATTATGATTTTCATTATGAACACTAGTCGAATAATTTTTGAAGGGGTGACGATTCCCATAACAGAGTTTACGTCAAGATATATGGTGATGACATTTCTTTGAGGTTACAATATTAACATCACCAAGCTTTTATGAATAACAGTAACGTGGACATAAACTAATTTCAAATCCAAGAAGATTAAATTCCATTCAAATGCACTAATTCATTTACAGAATGCAAGACCCAATCTCTTGAGGAAGCACCACATATTTGGAAATTCACTTTGTGATTACAAGGAGGATTTACGTTTCTTTGGGATTGCATAAGCAAGAAATGTTGTTAATGACGTAAGTCGTGCCGGTAAGAAGGCTTGAAATCTGAAACATTTAAGCTTGAACTTGAATAGTAGTCAATACAACTTCGGAATAACTTGTGAAGACTTCAAGTGGACTCGAACCTCTCGCAGTGTTACCAAATTACCGTTACAGAAGGAATTTTGTGAAATGAGCATCAAGTAGCATATCCCACATACCCTCAAGCCACCTGCAACCACCCTTCCAAGTCTGCGACTTTGCATCAATCAACAGACACCAGGACAATTAAGAATTTGGAATACCGGCTCAACTTCTTCAGTCTCCAGGCAATAGCTCATCAAACCTGCATTGAAAGACATGATAAGCGAGGTTATTCACCAAATATTCTCGTCCCGCTAAACAATTAATGGAAACATGTAGTTAAGATCACTTACGGTGAAGATTCGGGAAGCTGGAGAGCACGAGCTAACGCGGGGTAGGGCCATTGATTGGGATTGACTGGTACGGCAACGTTACCTGAAATATGAAGCAGTATAATCAGTTAACACGAGAATGAAACCTACAAGAAAGGCTAGCAGTCTGCGGTCCTCTAGTTTTTCATTTAAGAGTCTGCAGATGATGACCATCTCGGGAGCTCAAGCTCACCTGAAGCTTCAATTAAGTTGCACCAGAACAATGGACAGAATGAGGGCAGTCAACCCACACCAGATAAAGAAGCAGAGAATGATGCTGAAACATGGGATGCGAAGTTAGATCTTTGAAAACCGCTGAATTGCCTAGTGGAAGTCGCAGACAGGACTAAACTAGAATCCATTCAGCAGAGAATCAAAAACAAGGAAAATAAGCTACTAAGTTTCTAACCTGAGGATAAGTTGATGGTACCACCTCTGCCACTATCACCACCACATTCTTCGCCCCGTCGTGCATAATGTTGCATCAGACCAGCAACAACAACAACAAACATCAGAAATGCAACCTAATGCTCCAGTTCGGTATCCTTATCATCCTCAATTCTAAGATAATACCGTATCCAACATGCCACAACTTTTAAAAGACAATGCCGCAACAACAGTCTCAATTACCACTACGTTTTCAACAACAAACAATTTCTTACCTATCAGATGTTGTTAAACCTGAGGGTCGAAGTCAGGCAACTATTGTCATCATCTGCAGCTGTAGTAAAACCTAATGCCTACGTGTTTCCCGCACCTGTTTGAAATCGAAGAAACAAAACCAGTCCTGCAAACACACATACAATCTCATGAGAATTGAAAGAAACATATTGCCAACATTGTAATACTAAGTAAGATTACTACAAAAACATTAAATGCTACCTTGCATTGTCGACAATGTTTTAAACTCTTCAAAGCTCACGATATAGAGCCACCGGTCGCACCATCAGAACATGCATTTGGACTGCCCGAAGATCCATTTTTATAAGCAAACGACTGCTGAGTTTTCTAAGTACCAAATATCAATAAGTTGGTGTTGTTGAACCTATATGAATGTAAGTTCAACTCAACACTCTAGCGGAAACCCTGGTATCCCATCTAGCAGTAACAGCATGGCACAATACCCCTGCAGCCACATGAAAATCATGAGACTTGTTTTGTTCCTCCCATTTTAAAACTAACATTATATTTGAGCAAGTCATTACCTTTTAAGTACACGAAACATCCAAAATTCCACGAGAGATTTCTTCCGTTTCTAGAGATGCTAATTCGTTGTCGGTGGGACGCCTTGATGTGCAACGGCATGAAGACCATCTCGCAGCAGCTCTCCAAGCCCCCGTCGACACATGAAACAATAGGAGATTTAATTAGCAAGTTACAAAGGAATCTCGTTCAGCTTTATGTAAGCACCATTATTTATGCAGACAACAAGTAACTTGACTATCATCGGGACCAGCAGCAATAGGCAATGATTCGAAGAAGTGATGTCGGCCTTTGTCGAACTTCTACATGACTCCAAGCTTCCAATACATTTGCGAAGCATGGACCAAG